CACCATGTCTAATAAGCTCAAATCTTGGATGGCCAATCCATTTCTTGAGGTTATCCTTTGAACCAGTGAAGAAGTTATCCACAACAATAACCTGAGCAATAAGACAAGGAAGCATGTTAATCCTTGTACATAAGTAATATTTCACATTTAATTTTCTACAGATATCACAAAGCAGCCGGTTAAGTACCAATATCTATAATGAAGACTACATGAGGTGGTGTTTTGATGTGCTTCATGTTCCATGATATCAGACGAATTTGAACATGAAGAGGTAACACAGTGGTAATCAAAGTCTTCCAGTGCAAAGAAAAAAAAAATTGTGCAGTGGATTGAGAGAGAGGGTGGATTACATCCCACTCATATGTCCGGTGCCTCAATGACAGAATAATTATCAGATATGCATTGCACGGTTGTGAAAAAGCAATCGACTTAAACTGAGATGAGAATGCGAATCACACCTCGTGCTTTTCATTTTCCATCAGCTTATCTACCAAATGAGATCCGATGAATCCAGCTCCTCCCGTAACTAAGATCCTCAGATTAGCCTTTAAAATAACAAAATCAAGAGGATATGAGAGGTGGAGAAAGGGAAAGAAAGAAACTCCTCTTCCCAATCTAATTGCGAAAGGATATTGAGGAGCAAAACGCCTAAACAGATAAACATTACTTGAAAGAATTTGGAGAATCGCAGGGGAGAAGGAGTTGGAGGCGGGCGGGTCACCGTGTGTTGCTCTCCGTTGGATGATTCCTTCGCCATTGATCTGAAATCAGCTGGAAGCGTTACAAATCATCAGCGAGCTTCAATACATGATACAATAAGCAAAGAGGCGACCGACCGAAGTAAAATCAATCTGAAATAAAAAAAAAAACATCTACCTTCACTAAGCTCTCGAACACGTCTGTGAGCAGAATATCCAATCCTCCGAATGAAGTCCTATATATTACTCCCACCACCAACCTCGACCCACCGGTGAAATCAGATCCTTTGATCCAACGCAAACATAAAAAAGGGTAAAAGGGCAACCAAAGACAGCGTGGTGTGCTTCGATTACACGCAAGATTTACAGATCTCAGCCATGGAACAGAAATGACAGATAATTCGCATCAAATTTTTCTTGATTTAGTAAGATCAATGAGCAAGGATTTGCGAGTGCTTTTACAGTAACGAAATACTGGAAGTCTGGAAAACTACAAAGAAATTAATTAGATATTTTCCTAGTTGGCTATAAATTAGGGGATTTTTTTATAAATAAACTATATCATAACGCAGTGATATGAATTATATTATGATAAATTTAAATATCATTAAATTTATTTTAAAATATATTTTTAAATGACATAAATTTTTATATCTAAAAATAGAAAAGAAATAACTTATTAAGATTTTATTTGAAATAACTTTCTCAATATTTTAAAAAAATATATATTAGTAAAAAATTTTAATTTTTATATTAAAAATTTTTTTTGAAGCCAAAAGAAAAATACCTCAAATAAAAGTCATAAAAATTTGACTTAATCAGACACAGGAGCAAACACGGAATTTCATTATCCGGTCTTAATAGAAACCGGAATTTAATTCTCTGATTTCTACTTTAACGAGGAATAAAAAATTACGATTTCTTGAGAAACCGGTTTCAAGCAACCGGAATTCCTTAACTCGATTTCTTAGTTTAAAACTGGATTATCAAATCACGATTTCTTAATAAACCAATTTTCTGGTTTCTACATTTAAAATAAATTATTATTTTATAAAAACTTAAACCGAAAATTAATAAAGTAATAAATTGCTATTTTTCACAAAAGTTTAAAGTTATTGGCATTTTATAAAAACTGAAACCAGAAAAATGTTATTAAATGTTTTTAAAAAATTATTTGCATTTAATAAAAAGTTATTAATTGTTTTTAAACTTTAAACTTTTTATAAAATAATTTTTAAATTTTATAATTATATTAAATATTTTATTATTATTATTATTAATTATTTAAGAAAAAAATATAATATTTAATAAAAATTGATTAATTTTTTATTAAAATGTTTTTAAACTGTATATTAATATGTTTATAAACTTTATATTATTTTTTCCTAAATATTTTATAATTAAAAAAATTATAATATTAAATTCCGGTTTCTAATGTTTTAAATTTTATAAAAAACTTATTATGTTTGAAAAAAATAAATGAAATTAATTTTACATTTTCTATTTATATTACTATAACTCTTAAATATTTATATGAGAATAATTTTAATGGGAATTAATTTTGAGTTTCAGTTTTTATAAAATGGCAATATTAATATTAATTTGTTTAAAAGTTATTACTTTATTAATTTTTTGTTTCAGTTTTTAAAAAATAACAATTTATTAAAAGTAGAAACTAGAAAATTGGTTTCTTAAGGAACCGTGATTTGATAATTCGATTTCTTAAGAAACCGGTTTAAGGAATTCCGGTTTCTTGAAACCGGAATATTTTAATTCGGTTTCTCAAGAAACCGTTAAAGTAGAAATCAGAGAAATAAATTCCGGTTTCTATTAAAACCGGATAATGATGTTTCATGTTTGCTCATTTTTAAATTCTTTTGTTAAACTGCACCTCAAGCTAATTTAAATTTAAAACACGCTCCTTTTATAAAATAAATAAATAAATAACTCTAATTATCATAAAACCTGAACAAGTTACTAAATAAATTATTTTATACGGATACGGACGTCATTCAGATATGAATTAAAATACATCAGATCATCTTGTACATAACGATATACAACATATCATTGATGTAGTACATTCTAATTCGTCTACGAACTGAGTTGTATCCGCACAAAATAATTTCACCAAGATGCTGACCTGACGAGTTTTTTTTTTTTTTCCTGGTGCTGGCGGTGAGCGGCACGTAAGGCCTTCTCCAGTCGTTCGGCAAACAGGCGAATGGAGAGCCTCAGACGTGCCAACCGAACTCCATTTTTGCAGGCATTCAGTCGCTTATGAACAGTGCGACGCCAATATTGACGTCGCACTGTTCACTTTCGCTCTACCGAACTCCATCTGAGAAAGCCGCGAAAGAAACGAACATGATTTTGGGGCAAAATGGCGCTCCACTGGAGATGAATCACGGCACTTTTTTATTTTACTACATTTTACAGTGAAAAATGAGATTTTTGATTGGAGATGCCCTAAAGAGTTGGTACGTTGGTTTTGCCGGTAAATTTTTTATTTATGGAGGGTAATTACTTACTGACACGTGCCAAGCCAGGGTGACCAATCTGAGAATCTCTTGAATTTATTCCAAAAACAAGACGCGCAATAAGGCTGGTGATGTTTGTGTATTTTTTTTTTTTTTTTTTTTTTAGGGAAATTTAAGGGCCCGTATGACCAATTTATTTAAAAAATAAAGGTTAAAATATCTTAGAATTGTAAGAAAATAAAGAAAAACTTACAACTCTAAAAAGCAAGAAAACTATTAAAAAATAAAAAATAAAACTACCAAATCTACAAAAGAGGAAAAGAAGAGCCACTAAACAATAGCCCAAATCTTATTAAAAAAAAAAAAAAAAGGAAAGAACTCCCGAGCACCTACTCTAAGAAGAACCTCCAATACAAACAACAACCAACCAAAATCACCAAAAACTGTGAGGACAGGTTGTGTATGTCTCTAATCAGACTAATCTCCATCTATCCAAGACAGGGGGTGATAGATAAGGGTGTCAAAACGGGTCGAACCCGAGTTTAAATGGGTCAATCTGTACCCAACCCGATTTTATAACTGGTTGGGATTTCTAACCCGAACCGGACCCACGACACGTTTGCAAAATGCTAATCCGAAGCCGCTGACCATATGTGAGACCAATGGTTTAGCCGGGGGCCGGGGCGAGGGCAAATGGGTGAGACCAACTAACCAGGTGCTACCATAGAGTGTTGGCGAGGGCCGCAACTCGCAAGGCCAGTGGCGTCCGAGGCGGGGGTGATACTCAAGAGTTTAAATGAGACCAGGTGAGGCCAAAATCTTGCATACCCGAACCGCGCAGTATCCGAGTTAAACGGGTCAACACGTAGGTTGTTGATTCAACCCGAACCCTACTCATTTTTCAAATGGATCATAAATCCGAACCCGGACCTAACCTGTTTCACAAACGGGTTGACCCGAACCTAAATTTTTCAGGTCAAATTCGAGTCAGATTTTTAGGTCGAAACAAAAATTGACACCCCTAGTGATAGATAGCATCACACATGCTTCCGTGCGTGTGAATTAAACAACAGAATCATGGGAAGCATTGAGATTCAAGTGGTGTTATTTCACATTATTTTTTTGTTACTAATTGTCGGAGCCAAACTTATTATATTTTACGAATACAAATTAATTATTTATAAAATATAATTACTATTTTTAAATAACATTAAAATCTTAAATTTTAATAAAACGCATATTAAATTATATTTACATAAGTAAAAATATATGACATCTAAAAAATATTATAAATTTATTAAAGAATCTTGCTCCCTTTAAATCCACCCAAAATCGTATCTTTTTGTTTTAAACTTAAAAACCAACATTTTAAAATATCATTTCGATAGCATAGCAGAAGAAAACTATTTAAAATAAAATCTTGCATATATTATAAGTTTTTTATTTTAAAAAATGTATTGATTTTCTTAAGACTATCCTAACCTAACAAATCTGATTTGATTGTTACAAACAATTTTTCACCATTTAAACTTAAAAGGTAAAAAAAAACTGAATCCAAATCTAAGTAAAAAGCTGTGAAAAAAGCTACCAAAACGCCAGCATCAAGAATGAACAGGTTGCAATTGAAATACATCTATGATTCTGAATCATACAAAATAACAGTTTTTATAGAAACTATTGGAGAGAACTGAGATAATTAAAGCTTAAGATTTCATTTGGGACGACTTTTTTACTGTTTCTTAAAGTAACTTTTTAGTAAAAAAATTACTTTAAGCAACAGTAAAAAGCCGCCCCAAATGAAGCCTAAATATTGAGGATCCAATAGCAGAAAAACTAAATATTGATTTGTAGTATATTACAACATGTAGCTTGCTGGCACATACCGAAGCAAACATTGGAGAGAATAAATTAAAGACACTTACGGTTGTAGCTTTAAAAGAAAGCAATCAGTACAAATTGCACCACTTACAGCAGCGAAGAACCAACTTGAATGGACGACTATCTATGACGAATTCTGATACTCCGGTGGTGGATAGCTTCAAAGTTGTCAAGCAATCAGAATATATCTGGATGAAAACGGCCGGGAATGGAATTGGCTTCCTGAGCCCTCTGGAGATGAATCTTCAGGGTATAGTTGTTCAACTGCAACGTAAGTTCCATATGTTTTCAGAAATACTGAGTAGGCAGGGACTTCAAGGGAGGAAGGGAAATGGGATTAAGAGATGGGACTAGTTAAAAACTCTTTGTATTTCCGTCTCCTAAAGTCATTTGCCATAAAAACCTCATAAAAAGCTTAGAAATCCTATAATGCCTTCTCAAATTATGCAAAACTATAAATCTTCACTTCCCTATACATGGCCAACCACACCTTTTTGGAGAAATTATTGGGTTCAGACACCGGATGCCGTCCAAAGCCCAATAAAAATGCACCACATCACCCCTACTCGGTACTGAGCAGTACCGAGCTCAGTACCGAGCTCGGTACTGTATAGCGTGGCTGCACCTGATTGGTCTCGGAACAGTAAGCTGTATTCGATGTCCGAACCCAATAATTTCTCCACCTTTTTTATCATTACTATATGTACCCAATAATTTCTCCACCTTTTTTATCATTACTATATGTACCCCTTCTATGTCATGCACAAATCTACTTTTAAAGCAATAAAGCTTAGCAAATCACCTCCACTTTGAGTATGACTATCTTTACGTGGCTTTCAGCCAAGAGGACTTCTTGCGAAAGAGTACACAAGCCCTTGAAGAAGCACTTTCAAGGAAAGAAGGAAGCCAACATGACGAATAACTATTCATGGAGATTTACTTAGCTAAGGTTATCCTCACTTGCCACCTTAAGGATTTATTTTGCTGCAAACAAATAGAATAATCCTCGACATGTAAAGAAACTTATTTTTCCTTCACAAAATTTCCAAACTTTCTTCCTTGCGTGCTTGATAGGATGTTTAATCACTCAAGGGAAATGCAAGGGTGAAAACTTCTTACGTTATCGAGTTTACATCAAAAGAACTTTAATGTTTCTTTTAATTGATGGTCATTGGAACTATGAGTTTCTAGAAGCTAATAAGTGTGGGTTCAAACACGGAATCATTTAGTTGCATTACGAAAATAAACCCAAAGATGGCATGCATCTCTCCTTATTACTTATTAATGCCACTGAGATCACCTCAATATGAGATATAAGATCCAACCAAATACTTCTATGATAAATAATATTAAACAACATAGCAGTACATCAAAGAAAACTTCAACCAAAAGACCCCTAAATGCAATGGAAAGAAAGATGGAATATAAATTTTAAATAGCTATGAAATAATCCAAAAAAAAAAGATATACTGGATGATTGCAATGCAATCTCGAACCACATACAAATAATGCTAACTCGACTTGCCATGCTAATATAACTGTATCTATTTAGTAGCTGGGACAAAATTCTCCTAATCCACACCCCCAGACACCTACAAAAACAGCCAGCCCTGCACAAAATTCTCTAATAAACGCTAGCGTCAGCGGAATCAGCACTATAGATAGGTCTTACTGCAGCTGACGACAGAAAGATCAAGTTCATCCAAATCCCAAAGGTCAACAATGTGCAACTCTGTATCCCCAAATTGTACTATCAAATATTAAATTTTGGCAACAACAACAACAACAACATCAAGCCTTTATCCCACTACGTAGGGTCAGCTACATGAATCCTTTTCTCCATTGTGTCCTATTAAAAGTCAAATTCTCATTTAAATGTAATAAAGAAGTATCATTTCTAATATTTTCTAACCAAGTCTTTTTAAGTCTGTCTCTACCTTTCTTAACATAAGTCAAATCTAATACCTCTACTTTCCTAACCGGGTCTCGGAAGGCCGCCGTTTTATATGACCAAAACATCTAAGGCGACTCTCTCTAATCTTATCTTCTACTGGAGCTACTCCAACCTTTTCATGTATATGCTCATTTTGTATTCAATTTCTAAGGGTAAAGCCACTCATCCACCTGGGCATCCTCATCTGTACCACACTTAACTTAGTATTATGCTTCTCTTTGAATGGCCAACATTCGGCACCATAAAGCATTGCAGGTCTCACCACCATCTTATAGAATTTTCCCTTAAGTTTGAGGGGTCCTTTTTTATCACACAACAAGCCCGATGCATTCCTCCACTTCAACCATCCAACTTGAATTCTGTTGATAATATCCCCCATCTATTTCACCATCACTCTGAACAATAGATCTAAGATATCTAAAACGTGTACTCTTATTAATGACTTGATCGCCCAAAGTCACAATCCCCTTACTAAGTCTATTACTACTAAAATTATATTTCATATATTCCGTTTTAGATCTACTCAAGCGAAAATCTTTAGAAACAGTCAACCTTTAAATTTTGGCGCAACAACAAATTTATATGAAGAAAAAGTGAGCTAAGAGCTACTAAAAGTTACCTCCAACGTGCGGACTTGCTCTTGGTACTGGCTGATTACATTCTTTAGCTGCTGCACTTCCTTGAGCTTCTCCTCAAATTCCACATTACGATCATGTTGTATCGTGACAGCCCTCTTCAGAATTTGGTTGTCTCGCAACAAACACTGCAGCTGCTCCTTAAGAGAAGCAATCTCTTGCTGTACCCAAGTAAATGAAAAAACAGCAGCAATTGAGCATTTCTAGAATTCTGAAACGAAATAGTTCCCCACACCAAAAAATATAAGTGCCCAAGTACTTACCTCCTTTGCTGCAGTAGATTGAGCAACAACCGTTTGTTCAAAAGACTCCAAAATCTTCATGGCTCGGCTTCTGATGTCGCTCCAATCTGAAGCATTCATCATTTCTTGTACCAATATGTCCACCCATGAGGATCCATGAATTTCCTTTGACGTGGAATCTGATTCAGCGTCATGAATGACCTCAGCATTCAGTTCAGGTGTTTGAGCATCCATAATACCTACCACAATAATGCAGATAAAGATCAAGAGAAGTAAAAATAAGTACAAGACCAAGAAGTTACAGCAAAAATGATAATTAAAGTGTTGACTGTTTCTAACCTTCAATGCCATGTTCGTTGGATTCAAGTTCTGAGACACCATTCAGAGGTTCACCCCTCATTGAATTTTCACGAAGGCAAAGTGCATGAAGACTCTTGATGGCATCATCAATTTTATGATCGTGGGAATTTAAAACAGTTTCGACAACCTATACAGCATTGGTTGTAGTAAAAAGTAAATGCGGATCTACTTCAAAAGAAATAAAGAAATTAACATGTACAATCTTACATAACAAGATTCTAGCTGGAAAATCACAAAGTACAGATCACTTCCATGATTCCTACCAATTCAAGAAAATATTGACACTCCTGACTTCTCCAGAAAAAATGGATTGGCATATTTTAGGGTACAAAATCGATCCACTTCACATAATGAACAATGGACTAATTGGCTTAGTCAGTTTGTTGTTCCCTCCCCATAAATTTTTAATCCAAAACTACATTGACTCAGGTTGCTCCCCTGTTTTAGGAAGTGGTTAACTACCAATAACCTGGAAAAATGTCAGAGACTGAAAACTAATAACAGAAGGACCAACTTGAACCTTGTTTCTGAAGTAAAAGAAAAGCAGACACATTAATTATGTCTTGTTTCTTACTTTCTTGACCAAATGAAGTCGTCAAAAATATATACAAGTCCATAAATAATTTCTGCTTTGGAAACACTAGCAAAAAGAGCCTTACTTGATCAAAATTTGATAATATTGGTCGATGAGGAGAAATTAGGATTCTGGAATATCCTAAGATCATATTAAAAGCCTACTTATTTTCCAGTTTCATACATTAATCAAGAGCCTCAATGCATGATGCAGTGATAAGGAGATTAAAGAGTTTTAAATAAATTAAAAAAATTAAAACCTGACACAATATAAAAACTAATAGCTAATTAAGCTGCTATACACATCCACGGAGGCAATTCAACAACTCCCAGGCAATAAAAGCTTTTAAAACATGAAGTTCATGCATCTCCAGACCTACTCTCAATCGAATCTAAAGAATAGCTGGATCTCTAATCCAGTTCCAAATGAGTTGATCACTGAGGTAGCTTTGATTATCGGATTGGCATTTATCTCCAATGATTAAAACAAAAAGATAAAATAATTTTGAGTTCTCAATGGAAACTAATATATAAATTTATCGCTGGAATAGAAAAAGATGCAAAATTTGGTAAACTGTTTGAAGCGCAATTCTTGAGAATTTTATCTCTGGCACATCTCGATAAGATTTTGCCTTTTTTAGAACTGTGGTAAACAACGAAGTTAAGAGATACAAGATTTGCTTTAGGTTCCTATACCTTAAAGGGTAAACATGCTAAATGCAATTCCGATTCTCCATCTTAGAGATGCTTGCAACGCTTCACATCATGTGTATGCACACAACTGCTCATCCTCTCTTCAAACTTTAAAGGTTGAAACAACTAACTTCCCAACCTATGTCCCCCGCATGCAATAAAATCTCATACCGCTTTTCTCTTATCTATTACTAGTTTACGGGACTAAAGTCAACGCTTGAATTATCAATCTTTGATATGGAGCTAGGAACATCGATATCAGGAGTTCAAATTTCACGTGAAAAAAATTAAGAAAAAAAAATATTAACCTCGAAGGAACTCATCAATGCTGCAAGCAGCGCTATAAGAGTGTTCTTTTCCATCTTGATATATATAATTGATAACAAGGTTTAATTTCTAAGGTAGTAAACAATAAGAAAAGCTATCAAAGTAGGCCATTCGTTTATAAATACCATGCAAAAAAACAAAACAGTAAAGGGTCAATAAGAGAATTACCTCCCTATCCATAGACGGAAACATGCGAAGAAGAACGGAGACCTTATCCTCGGCCGCGAACCCGAATTCTGATAGACGGATGGGCGAACCGTAGCTTGAGCAGCGAGATCTCTTCGCAGAAGGGGCCGATGACGGAGATCCGAAGATTTCCTCGAACCCTAGGCGCTTACCGCAGACGCCCGCAGACATGGCAGCAGAACCCAGGCTCTCAACAAAACCCTAGGGTTTTGATCGAGGAGGAAACGCCGAGCACCCTCTTCGGCCCCAACTTTACCGATTTAACCCGCCCGCTTCTCTCCAATCTTCGTCTTCCTCAACTTTCAGCTCGACGAACAGAGACTACAAAGACTCGGACCGAGATCGGTAGAGCGATATGCTGACTACTTTTCTAGTTTTCTTCGTGTTTCCCGGACAAAAACAAAAACGCAAATTGCACCTAAAACGTGACCAAGCTAACGACCCATCATACGATCTGTTCTACATTTACGTATTATGCTTTTTTTTAGTATTACAGCTCCATCAAATGCATATTATTAAAATTAATAAATTAAATTTATATTATAATATTTTCTATATTCTTCAAATTTTGTCAAAATAATAAATTTATTATCAAATTTAAAATAAATGAAAATAAATCTTTATTTTTTAAAAATATTAATTTTATTTATAAATGATGTATTAGTATCATTGCAGTGCTAAAGATGCAACGGTGGAACCAACTTCAAGGAGGGTAAACTTATAAGTAATTGTTGGTGTTGCTTAGACCTGTCAATATTGGACCCGACCCGAAAACGTGGATTCGTTCAAACTGGGCTAGGCCCCGTGGTTTTTCCCCCTTTTATAGGGGTTTTCCACGTAAAAATCTTAGTGTCTCATAAATGCTAGACTCTCTCTCCTTATCTAATTGCGTGCCGGATTTTCGTACAACGCTAAGACGTTAAATCTTATATTTTTCTACCGCCGCGAATTCTCCTTGACGCAACAATCTTATTTTTTAGAATATATGGATTAATCTTCTTCAAGGAAGTTTGTCCTAATTTCTTAATTATAGAAATATGAAAACTTGTCAAAAATAAACATTTAACAATTTTCATGCTTTGATGGCTTCAAGCACTTAAATATAATAAATTATATATGAAAATTGGAGAATAATTTTAATATATATATATATATGTATAAATAAAAAAAAATTAATATGACATATATTTTTTCATAAAGTAAGCTAATCTTTATCTCTGAAGTAATAAGCATTAATCTCATCAAAAGTAGTATTTTTTTTAATAAATCTTCAAACAAGTGGAATATGTGTTTAAAAATATTAGAACATATCAAATAAATTTAATTATAACATAAGAAATTTTTAGTTAAAAAGTATACCTTTGAATTGAAGACATCTTGCAATAATCAAGCTTGTGTTTCTTTTTACTAATGAAGTAAAGAGGAATATTCATGAGATATTGCAATGGATCAACAAAAGCATCTTTTTTTTCTTTTTTCTTTTTTTTTTTTTAAGAAAGAAAGTTTTATTAGATATGAAAAGGACAATACAAGCCCAAATCGAAACCTAAAAAATATCATAGAAAGGAAACAAAAGCTAAAGCGACAAAGTAGATCATAAGCGAAATGTCAAATGCGGACTCGGGGTAGCAGCCACCCGCAAGGACCCCTTAGTCACACAAGGGCCATCCATTTGTTACATAAATCTGCATAAACCACAACATCAGTCTAGGCAACCAACAAGCAGATAGCTTACCACCAAGGCTGCCAACAAGATGACTAGGAAGGTGATAAGCAAGGAGTTGTCTCATCATCGTCCAGAGCATCAGAAAAATCCACGGAAACAAAAGCGGCAAAGGGGACCAGTGGTTATTTTTTCTTAGCTTTACTTTTACATTTTTTGCCTCCACTAACAAGAATAAACTCATCATCCACATTGTCACCCAAAACCTCCACCTCAACCCCAACCGAACGTAAGCCTTCCTCATCCATAACCAACAAATAAGTTTGAATCAAAACCGAGTTATTCAATGACCAGATCAGATGGGCATTCAATTCAGCATTGGACATAACATAAATAGGAATATCCACAAATTTCACATTTCTCTGGTCAAGATTCACAATAGGAGAAGATTCTGGCATAACAGAAGTAATCAAAACCTCACCAGAAGGGCCACATTCCACATAATCCAACACAAGTCGATTACCAGACGACACAAGAGTTATAATAGAAGGGGAAGAAACCAGAGCACCACGAGACACTTCATTACCAACAATAATAGCAGGACTAACACCCTCCCAAACTACAACCCCTCCACTAACAGCACCATTGAAATCGTGGCAGCCAAACTCAGAAGACAAAACATCAACATTCACAGCCTCAGACGGATTACCTAAAGGAGTAGAAGCAACCAGCTCCATTGTCACGACCCAACCGGACCGGAACGAATCCCTTCGCGTCGGGTCGCGACGGATTAATCCAGGATCTAGCTTTAGAATTTACTTTCAGACTTTTTTCTAATAAACATACACACAAAAAACATAGAGCTACTATAAACATTCAAATATATAGAAATTCATCTGAAATTTTCTTCTTTCTTTCATCAAAATAATCATGTACATTACAGTGCATGACTACCAACATAAAGAATATAACAGAAAAGTCATGATTGTACAAAAATTAAAAGTACAAAATACATAATCTCAGATCAAACACTCAACGGCTAGTCCAAGTCCTCCTTCCATTTCCCATAACTTGAAAATCACGCAGATAACAAGAATGAGCTAACAGCTCAGCAAGACTACACCAGCCAATCAAAATTTCTAAAAACTCACATCCAAAATACATCAGAAAAGTAGCCGTACATAATTCAGATAATCGTACAGAAAGTCGTATAATCAGACATGATACATATACTTGATTAACAGAATATTCAAATCACTGATACATAAGAATTCTTTTTGTATAACAGAATATTCAAATCAGATTTCAAATCAAAATTATCTTCAAATCACAGAATAAACACAATCGTAGAAATCATAAAGCACATTATCAAAACAGATCAGATCACATATCACATATCAGATTAGATTCTCATACCCTGACAGAATCTCAACAGATTTTGGCCCCTTATGCATCTCTTCCCTGACACTGACAAAATCTCAATGGATTCTGGCCCCTTATGCCTCCCTTCCCTGACACTGACAGAATCTCAACGAATTCTGACCACTTATGCCTCCCTTGTGCTTACAGCACCAGAACATATCGGAGATATATAATTATCAGATCAGAACTTGTTTTCAAATTTCAGATTCCAGATTCCTGAACCCTGACAGAATCTCAAAGAATTCTTGCCCCTTATAACTCCCTTGATAGCATACAAAAATATCAAATCATCAAATTCAGAAATCAGATTTCGTTAGAAAAATCGTCAGCGGCATAACGGCAGTATACGGAAATTCCATAGGATTCTCAATTTAAGAAATTTACCAAATTATCACAGATAGCAGAAAACATCATTTTAAAACTTTCAATGTACTGAAGTAAATATTTTCAACATCCAGATAATTCGCTATTCGATAAAAACTCTATAGAATTCAAAATACATAGTGAAAATCTTCCAGAAAATACTCAAAACGTGAAAAACATCATCTCAGAAACATACCAAAAGTTATGCGGTAAAACATTTATCAGCACGAAATGAAACCAGATATTCACTAACGGAAACAACATTCGAAACAAAAAAGTCATCAAAATCCACATTTCTGAAAATTGAGAAATGCGAAATGTTCCTTACCTCGAGTCGGGCAACTTTTTCAACTACGGCGACGGACGTAAACAGACCGAAGTCGCGTAAAATCCACTTTTCTTTATTTTTCCTTTGTTTTCTCTCTCTTTCATTGCACTGAAGCAAATATTTTCTACATCCAGATAATTCGCTATTCGATAAAAACTCCACAGAATTCAAAATACCCGGTGAAAATCTTTCAAAAAAGATTCAAAACGTGCAAAAACATCATCTCAGAAACATACCAAAAGTTACGCGGTAAAACATTTATCAGCACGAAATGAAACCAGATATTCGCTTTTTGTAGCCTTTGGTAGGCTTTCTTTTGTAGCCTGTGTGGCTAGTGTAAATATTTCTTTTGGACTCTTTTGTCTGTTTTCTGATTGTACTATATATGAATTATAGTATCCGCTGCTGTTTCTTTTCTGTAATGTAATTATCTCTGGCTCTGGATATATGTATGGATGGATAGATGAGGAAACCGATAGAAAGAAAAAAAAAAGAAAAAAAATAGAACGATCAGATGAATCCTTTCGCTACACGGATCTTGGGTTGTTATAATAACATAAATAGGAATATCCACAAATTTCACATTTCTCTGGTCAAGATTCACAATAGGAGAAGATTTTGGCATAACAGAAGTAATCAAAACCTCACCAGAAAGGCCACATTCCACATAATCCAACACAAGTCGATTGCCATACGACACAAGAGTTATAATAGAAGGGGAAGAAACCAGAGCACCACGAGACACTTCATACCAACAATAATAGTAGGACTAACACCCTCCCAAACTACAACCCCTCCACTAACAGCACCATTGGAATCGTGGCAGCCAAACTCAGAAGATAAAACATCAACATTCACAGCTTCAGACGGATTACCTAAATGAGTAGAAGCAACCAGCTCCATTGTCACGACCCAACCAGACCAGAACGAATCCCTTCGCGTCGGGTCGCGACGGATTAATCCAGGATCTAGCTTTAGAATTTGCTTTCAGACTTTTTTCCAATAAGCAGACACACAGAAAACATAGAGCTACTATAAACATTCAAATATAAAGAAATTCATCTGAAATTTTCTTCTTTCTTTCATCAAAATAATCATGTACATTACAGTGCATGGCTACCAACATAAAGAACATAACAGAAAAGTCATGACTGTACAAAAATTAAAGTACAAAATACATAATCTTAGATCAAACACTCAACGGCTAGTCCAAGTCCTCCTTTCATTTTCCAGAACCTGAAAACCACGCAGATAATAAGAATGAGCTAACAGCTCAGCAAGACTACACCAGCCAATTAAAATCTCCAAAAACTCACATCCAAAATACATTAGAAAAGTAGCCGTACATAATTCAGATAATCGTACAGAAAGTCGTATAATCAGACAGGATATATATACTTGATTAACAAAATATTCAAATCAATGATACAGAAGAATTCTTTTTGTATAACAGAATATTCAAATCAGATTTCAAATCAAAATTATCTTCAAATCACAGAATAGACAGAATCGTAGAAATCATAAAGCACATTATCAAAACAGATCAGATCACATATCAGATCAGATTCTCATACCCTG